GAGCGGTGCACACTTAGCTCCTGAGCTATCTCTGCAGCCCAGTCATAGCATGTATGTTGTATACTGCTCTTGCAGAGGATCAAGTTTGGTTCCCAGCACCCATGTTGGGGACTCACAATCACTTGTAATCCAAGTCCAGGGAGTGTGATGCCCTCAAATTGCCTTGGAGGGTACCCCCATGCATGTACACATGTACACACACACACACACACACACACACACACACACACACACACACATATATACATACACACACAATTAAAAATACAATAAAGCTTATGAAATACATTTTTTTTTAGTGACCTGGCCCTGCCATGGGCCACGAAAGCAGCAGCTAAAACTTACAAATGCACAAGCTAATCTGCAGGAGCCAAAGCCAGTCTCACAAACAACAGCAAACACTCGAAACAGCACACGTGGGAGAGGAGGAGGTCGGAGCGTTTAGAGTGCCCAGCGCTACAGATTAGTCCGGGACCTGAGGCTGGCTCGGCCGTCGTCCTCAGGTGACTCCCTCAGCTGCTCCGGGACCGAGACTGCCGATCAAGCTGATGAAGCACTCGCTGCCCACAGAGCCCTCTGGTTCTCAGATCATTCTTTAACTCACACGTCCTTGTCAATCCAGACTCCCGTACATCCGGGTTCTATTCAGCTCCTCATCACAACAAAGTGACAAGGTTTGCTGGGCATTCACACATAAATGGTGATGGTCATGTTAATAATCCTACAGGCTTTTCAAATCCTTACTCACTTCCTGAGGTAATTCGATTTTAGAGATTTATTTTTATTTTTATTTATGTGTGTGCCACGTGGGTGCAGGTTCCTGCAGAAGCCAGCAGAGGGTGCTGGATCCCCGGGCTGGAGTTACAGGCTGCTCTGAGCTGCCTGGGTGGGTGCTGGGCTCTCCAGCCCAGAGATAACTTCACATTGAGGTATGATTCAGAGATGGTCGGGTTTGCCACCATTTCTGGGAGTGAATGGCAGTGGCTGCTGGGAGCTTGTGGTAGCCATTCTGCCTCCCAGCAATTCCAGATTCTACCCTGCCAAAGGCAATAAAAGGCCGTTGGGAGAGAAACGACCCTCATCCCTGTTCACACGGCCAACTCCTAAAACACAGTATTGTAAAGGATACTGACTTTCAGATAAGCCTCTCAACCATGTCAAACAATCAAACTAAATATGCATGTATTAACGCCCTCTCCTTCCCAGCACTGGTGGAGAAAAGCACTTTCAGTTTGTCATTCTGTGGTACGAGTCACATGCGAAACATTCCTTTACAAAAACCGACTTCAGCCTGAATTTTCATTTTCAGTTGGCAAGGTGTAAGAACAGGTCGTCACAGACAGAGATGCACGTGTTAATGTTTTCCCCGAAAGTGAATTCTGGAACAGTAAGAAGCACGTTTGTACAAATACCTCTTGAAATCCAACTTGATGCCCTTGTTGGTCTTCATGACCTCAGCCAGCCACTCCTGCAGAGTGTTATCACTGTTTGTCTCAGGAGGGTGGGCCATGATCGGCTGGCCATGCTCTGATCCATCACTAGGAAGAAGGACATCAGCCTCTATCATGTGGGCAGCACCTGCCCAAGTAAGAGAGCTCTGTTACTGCCGGACACAGACGACAGGAGAAGGGCGGTACCCGTGGGAGGAAGAAGGCAACATTTGCTGGGTGTGCTGGATGCCGGGCACTGTACGAGCCCGCGCGCCATCCCTACGTCACACGGCTCCGAGGCCATTTTCTACCTACAGATCCTTTCTAGTATCTAGTGAGGGGAGCACAGAAAGGGAAGGGAAGCCTAGGGAGTATCTGTTGGCGTGTTCTAGTAGCAAAACTGGTACATTTGAGCTGAGAGTGTCCCTCAAAGTGCTTCTTGCCTAATAGTATGAGCAAGACTCTGCTTCTTCCTCTGGTACCACACACAGACACATACACATCTGCACACACACATAGATACAGAGACACATACACAGACACATACACACCTGCACACACACATAGATACAGAGACACACACACAGACACATACACCTGCACACACACAGACACATACACACACACACTCACCCCACACAGATACACAGACACACATGGTACACCTGTACACACAAATACACAGATACACAGACACATGCCCACACACATACACACCTGCACATACACACATACACAGACACCTGTACACACACACACACACAGATACACAGACACATGCCCACACACATACATACCTGCACATACACACATACACAGACACCTGTACACACACACACACACACAGATACACAGACACATGCCCACACACATACACACCTGCACAGACACACAGACACAGACACCTGTACACACACACACACAGATACACAGACACATGCCCACACACATACACACCTGCACAGACACACAGACACATGTACACACACATATATACACACAGATACACGGACATATGCATGTATCATCTTCTTGATATTCAAATTAGAATCCATGGACATTCATTGCTCATGCCTGAGACTCTACATAAAAATTAATGTCTTTGATTTAAAACTTAGCTACTCTTTTAAAGCGGCTTGTTTTGTGGGACAGGCTATCACCACATAGCCCAGGCTGGCCCCAAACTTGCAGCTGTGCCACTCCAGCCTGCCAGATGCTGGGACTACGGGCATTCCCCACCGTGCCCAGCTCTGGACGTCTGCTACCAGGAGAGCAACAGAGACAAACAAAACCCTGACGCACCGCACTGGCTGGGACCTGGGGAAGCGTTAACAGGTAAGAAGGAACTGTCCGTGGGAATGGACAGAGCAGCGCAGGCACTATCTGACTCGGGAACAGACATCGTTCTTAATTTTCATACTTATTTCTTTATTTTGTGTATGTACATGTCTGTGTGCATGTATGTGAGCGCCCTGGTGTGCAGGCATGTGAGTGCCCTGGTGTGCATGCAAGTGAGAGCCCTGGTGTGCATGCATGTGAGCGCCCTGGTGTGCATGCATGTGAGCGCCCTGGTGTGCAGGCATGTGAGCGCCCTGGTGTGCAGGCATGTGAGTGCCCTGGTGTGCATGCAAGTGAGCGCCCTGGTGTGCATGCA